AGGTGGCGCAGAAGCGTGGGCACCTAACAAACGTGACACGGTTGCTTCTTGCCCCACAGGAGGGGTTTTTATAGCCCAAAGGAGAAGAGTTTTGTCTTCTGGTGGAAAGAACTATGGAGGAGAGGAAGAGTAAAGCAGCTGTTTTGAAAATATCGAGACGCTCAGGGAAACGAAAACCCAGGTCTTGAAAAACGATCCCTGAAAAGAGGCGCGAACCTAAAGATATACCTAGTCAGAGAGACGAAGCCTCAGTGTATGGTACTCCACTCTCAACGGTTGATCTTCCCTTCTAGGATGGCATAGGCTGATGATGTACTAAAGAGAAGGGCTGCTAGTTGGGGTGGCCACGGCCATGCGATTAAAGTGAAATGCCATCCTCACGCTACTACTTGGGAAGAAGAAGTGCATCAAAGCGTGGCGGTAGGCCTGACTTCAGCGTGGACTCTACTTACATGGCGATTTCCAACGAATAAGCTCCAAAAAGGTTGACGTAAGTCTTCATTCTCTCTCTATTTTCTCGATTCAGGTTATGCTGAAACTGGATTTAAACGAGAGAACAATCAAAACGACAATAGAAGAAGTGCTCTATCATGATAGGTATGTGGGCCCATAAAACTTTTTCACTACGGCCCCCTTAACACTTTCTGCCACTAGTGAGTAGGAGAATACGCAAAAAGGATCAGAAACAAACTGGTTAACTTCAATTGAGTGGAGAACTTGAGAATTTGGAGGAATGTGATCTGTACCGATTTTGTCATCCGCAGAGTCAGAAAGTATGCAATTAGGCAAAGCAATCAGTAACTGATTTCCCCAGTATCACGTTATTTCAAGTCTGCTGGCATCTACACACCTTTCAGTTGGAACTACTTAGCGGTTGGAGACACAAGAACGCTGGCCACGTTGATGCAATTTCGGTCCTAGGAAGAAGCATGTGCAACTATGCACGCTTAAGCCGCGCCTCCTTCGTCGCGCTTCCCGCCGCAACGCCTATCCTCCTCTCGCCTCCGCTCATGGCACGCAAGTGCATGCATATAGCGTTTTTCTTTCGATGGCGCGTGCGCGGCCAACACAACGATGCGATTCCTTAAAATCTCACCTTGAGCTGCAGTCGAAAATAGTTCATTTCTTCTTTGGACTCTTTATTCCAAGTCCCTCGCCACATGTACGGGTGGCCCAGGCCATCATCCTACGGTTGATTTTAGTCGAGTCTGTGCGCACCGCCCTTTTTTGGAATTGTGTGGGCCCAGGGGGCTGGCGGAAGGGGGGGGGGCCAACCGGAGGGTGCACCCGCCCCCCCCCTCTCTTCCTATTCATCGAATAGAGCCTTCGAGCGGGGCGGGGGGGTCTACTAGCAGTTGATTACAGCTGTGGCCAAAATGGGCCACATGAAAGCCGGGTCACATGCATCCTCCGGATTTCTGTGGGAGTAGCGCTTCCAGACCATGAGAAGATTTGGGATTCTCCAGCTTTCACAAAGTTATCCTTCCTCAATATAGACTTTCAGCTACAAGCAGAATGCGATCAGATTGTCGAAGTTAATGGCGGAGAAGCCGTTCTCCGCTGAAGAAAGACTCGTTCGATGGACGAACTTCGCCGTTGAGAACGGTGTATTGGACGTGCTTCATGTCGAAGGCTCACGCATGAATTTCATTACTTATTTCAACCTTGACGTCATTCGCTGTTGCCATGATTGTTGTATGTTCAGTGGTATTCTTGATCTTCAAAACCCTCAAGTCGCTTTGTTCCCGAGGTGGTCACAGAAAACTTAAGCTCCAATGAATTGCTCGTTAGGTTACATTTATTAGGTCCGCGTACATTGTTAGCTGAGCTATTAATACGTTCGCGGCGGCGGCGTTTCGCCAAAAACTCCCGTTTCTCGAGCGACGCGTTCGCGGCAGGCAACATTTAGGCAATCGTCCCGTTTATGGTTCAGCGCGCTCGCGACGGATATAACTTTGTTAAAACTCACTAAAGTCGTTTTTTGCCATCCTTTTTACATTTTTTCCCTTCTACAGATTTTATCTGGTTTTCGGTAAATGAACT